AAATTTATAAATAAATATATTTTAGTATTAAGTAAAAAAAAAAGAAAAAAAAAGAAGAAGTTAGATATAGGCAAATAATTATTATTATTATTTTAATAATGTTTTTGTATGTGATTGTGTGTATGTGTGGATGATATTCTAGAAAATTAAACCATAGTATAGAAGTCCCACATCGACTAATCTTTAGAGTGAAGGAGTTTGAGGAGCCTATATATAGGAGCTAGTGAGTGGAGCTTGGAGTAAGTAAATAATTTTCGCACATATCTGAGGTAGTCTCAGAAAAGTGCTAGTTTTAATTTTATTAACCGTTGGATCGGACTGAAATTTGGTCGGTCCATTTGGGACATCAAAATCGTTAATTTCAACGGTCGGATCACCCTTTTGATCTCCGAGTTACAAGTTATTAGGTACGTTTTTAACTTATATCTTTTAGATTTAGCAGATAGAGTCTTGAATAGTAAATTAGCATTTTAAAGTTTATTCACCGTTAGATTGAGCTATAATTTGGAGGATAGTATCATGATGGATAGGAAATTGAATTCAACGGTTAGATTATGGGTTTAACTTCTGTAGTGAGAATAACTTGGGTCGTACTAAGTCTATTTGTCTAAGTCTTTCGAAGATGGAATATAAGTTATAAATTTATAGTTTGTCTATTTCCATTATGAATTTGATGATTCTAATAAAATAATATAATAATTAAAGGATATTTAAGTAAGGAAATTTAGGAATCGAGTCTAAATCACATATATATATGTTCTTATTCCAAACCTTAGAGAAATGTCTTTTAGGCTAGAGTTCTGAGTAAAATTAAAGCTTTTAGAGAAGGAGTTAGAGGCTAGAATTTTGTGAGTAGCCTACTCTAATACTATAGAGATAATATTTTAATTTTGTTTGTAGATATAAACTCTATTGTGGCATTTTCGAGGTTGGACTCTGGTTGTAGTTGATTGATAGCTAGGAGACCAGGTAACTAAATTTCTATCTGTTGCATGCTCTAGTATGAAGTTGGTGAGCGGCTTGATAACTAATTCTATAAAAGTATATTACGTTTTATATGAACTGTCTTGTGGGATGCTATTTTAAAAAAGGATTGACATAGTTTGTATTGCAAGAAATTGGTGATCATGATTATGATGTGCTATTATGAAATTCTGTTGATTATGCATATAAATGTGTCATGTTGAACCCTGTGCATCTATTTTTGGTGGGGAAAGGAGATAATTGGAGTTATTGAGATTCATATACTTGCCACGTGGTATTAGCCTCCATACGGAGCTCTATGGTTGGCTGCTATTATTGTCCCACTAGTTCTTCGAGGGACTGCGACACCCCACTAGTTCTTCGAGGGGGGGGGACCCATGGTCCACCGAGTGCTCTGTGGTCTTTGGCCGGTCCACATCATTCGTGTGGTGAGCTTGTTAGAGTTGCCAGTCAAATGGAAAGAACTTAGCCCATGGATCCAGTCGGCGGAAATAAGGAGGATATAAGGATGGGTTTGGGTTCAGGAATTGCATATGACATGAGATATTCATTGATATTTATATCTTTTAAATAAATGACAAGTATGTTATTTCTTTTGAAATGTATCCATTGCATGAGACTGGTGGAAATATTTGTCTTGTATGATTATTGTGAGTTTAAATGTTAAATAAATGTTTATTAACTATTATTAACTCTGTGTATCCCACCTGACACCTCACTAGCCCATGCTAGGGTGTGGGATAGGTAGGGATTTAGTTACTGAGACGTTGTCTCACTCCTGTTGCTTTACCATTTTCAGGAAACAATACGTTAGCGGGACCTTCGGGGAAGACTCCTGAGGCTCAATAACTGTAGCTGGCAGTGTAGAGCTTCTGGACCTTATTTTATGTAATCTTTTCGTATATTGCCACGCATCAGGACTGCATTTATTTGGAACTTATTTTACCTTCTTATATTTTTATGTCGTTTGACTAAATAAACGTATTATACTTTCTATCTTTGGTTTATTTTGTTTGGACATTGGAATAGGGTGCTGGTAGTGGGCTTGAGACCTTAGATTGCATGTGATTGAATTATTGTGGATCCACGATGTGATAATGGAAATTTTGGCAAGTTTAGTTGTTGCTAGTGTTGACTAAGATAGTCAAGTCTAAACTGCTATTATAATTTATCATTCAAAGGCATATTGTTTTATAACCATGTTTGCCATGATTACAACTATAGGCTATTCTTTTTCTAACCATGATAGTCTTAATTAAGGTCGAATGTTTTTCTATCATGGTTAGCCCTTTAATGATGTGATTGCTCTTAAATAACCATGATAGGGTATGTTTACTAGTTTTAATCTTTTCTATCATGGTTAGTTCTGGTTAGTAAGTGGTGATGTTACAATACTTCAGCGTACAATTGGGTCTGGTATGCTAGTGCACGAATGGACATTAGTTTTTCTTTTTATATGCTCTTTTATCACGCATTAGATCTTTCCCTTTCCCCTAATCCCATGTGCATGTGCAGGAATATTAAAAATTATTATTTAATCCGAACATATTAGCCGAAAGCGAAAATATCCCAGCAGAAGAACCTAGCAGCAACATATAGGATCAAAGCCACCCAAGTTTAGAGCTGAAGAAGGCCAGAATAATAAGCAACTTTGGCCGGAGATTTACTATTTTATATTCTATAAATAACTATTAAAATGCTACTTATATTGTATTAAAAAAAACTACTTATAAACTAATTATAAACGGTTTCAAACAGGTCCTATGGAAACAAAACAGGTGTAGAGAAAATGCAATGAAACAAGAGGAGGCAGGAGCGAGCGACTTACCCGGCCAACCAGAGAAGAGAAGAAAGTAACGAATTTGAGAGGCATCGCACTTACGTTTTGGTTCCTCCCCAGCTTCAATTTACGTAGTCTCGCTGACGTTGATTCCCCTATAGTGGGAAAAGGTTAAATCCTACCCATCCTAATTTTTTTTGTTTTTTAAATAATTGTACTCTCATGCGAACATGTCTCCTTTCCTCGAGGCTGTGTCGCGGAAGAGGATTATTGCCTAAATTCGCGCCCAAACATCTAACGGTGGCAAATCAGCCTCATCCCTATTTTGGACGGCTCCTCTTTCTTGGCACTGGCGGGAAATTCTGGCGGGAGATGAACCCTCGGAGCCAAAGAGAGAGGAATCCTCTTCCCTTTTTCTTTTCTCTTTCTAGAAAAGAAACAAATACTCTCTCTGTTTCTTATTATAAGAGACATTTGATGCTTATGTCATATTTTTATATATAAGAGACACTTAAAAGTTGTCTCTACTTTTTTGTATTCATTTTTTATTTTACCCATATTTATTATCTCCAACTCACACTCTCTCTCCCTCCCACTTCTCTTTCTTTTAATAATTTAATTATTCTCTTTCATGCTCTCTCTCCTTATTAATGAGGGCATTTTTAGAAAAAATTATAATTTTTATATATTAATTATTATTAACTAATTTTAACTGTTTTTTTTTATCAACATATTTCGGTTATTTGTCTCTTATAATAAGAACGGGAGGAATAATTTTGTAGGATGCGGAAAATGTTTTAAAGTAGCGACGACGGGTATTTCAGTCTTTTCAGCCCAGTGTTTAAAGAGGACAACACCGACGGTAGGTACAGCCCTCTGGGCATGTGGGACCCTCCCTTGAATTACGGGGTGTCCGTTACGTTCTCCATTCTACGTTACCTGATATTAGATGCCTTTTCCTCCTAATTTACAAAACTGCCATTCTCTGGCATTAACGACCCATATCAACACCAAAACATTTTTTGGTTTTTGTTTTTTTTGAGGGGCGGGGGGAGGAGCAGATAATCAATGTAATCAGTAATTATCGATATTCAGTACTCATTTAGTTTTTTACACACCATTCAAAATTTTATTTTAAAGCATCAAAACCTATAATGATCTGAATTGTTTATTACTCTATAATTTACAATGAGCTGGGTTTTAATACAACTTATTTTTTGTAATTCATGAAGTGTGATTTATTAAAATTTTATATTTAACCCTTATATTACAAAGGAAAGGAATTACTATTTAAAAGCTAAATAAATCAACATAAATAAATTATTATATGATGAGGATCTGTGTGTATTATATATACATAGTGTACAAATATGGAATTGATTGAAATAGTAGAAATATAATTATAAATATATGAATAAAAATAAAATAGCACTCATGTATTGTACTGTTGCAAGGAGAAGCCGACACAGAAACATAAGCTCTTTTTTTTTTTTTTTTGAGCTGAAGAAACAAAACCTGTTGCTTCTGTCTAAAACATTAGGTAAGGTCGTTTATCCATGGATAATAGCATGTAATTTAATCAATCATATTCGCTATCTGAGTCATTATCTTTAGATAAAATAGTGACAACAAGAAAGCCTCAATAGTGAGGTTATTGCTCAGAACTTAGAAGTATATACTCTTCCAGTTCTAAATATAAGACCCTTATAGTGTGTATAAAAGTTTTATATTTAAGACTAAAAGAACGTATGAAGGTCTTATATTTAAGACCGGAGGAGTATTACATAACAAGATATGAAGGCTGGGAAAAATAAAAAAAGAAAAACAAGATTTGAATGAATAAATTTATTTAATTATTAAAAAAGTATCAGGTTAACGTTTATATTCTCCGGAAAGGCGAAATTGAATTTAGAATTTTTTAGAAAGAAATGGCGTGAAGGGGAAATATGCAGTAACTGGAGGATGGAAGGGAAGTTAGGCTGGGGGGTCACCTTACCACAAAGTCAAGGGGTCAAGCGCAGGGAGTGGTACAAAGGGTAAAGAGCAGAGAGAAACAGTATCCGATGCGTTGCATAGTAGTCGACCCCTAACCTCTCCGGAAGCGCATGATTCAAGAGGTGGACCTCTTATCTTTGACGTGGCTCTCACCCATTCGATCATTCCCTCTCGTCGGGATTCATACTAGCACACCAATTAACATTCCCACTCACTCTCATCCTCTCTCCCTCCCTCTCTCTCCCCCCCCCCCTCACTGTCTGTGTTTTTCTCTCTGCAGAATTTCCTAAATTTCTCCTCTATCCTATCTCTTCCGCTCCTCAATTCCCTTTTTTCCTTTTATCTGTAATGCATGATCTTCTGGCCAAATGCCAATTTGATTTTTAATTTCAGCCTTTTACTGGTTTTTCATTGGCGGAATTCGCTGTTTTGATTCCGGAAATGCTCGCAGCTATGGAAAGTTCCGTCAATGGTGGCTTCTCCCACTTGCAGAGATGTGGAGATAGCAGCGAAGAGGAGCTCTCTGTGCTTCCTCGTCATACCAAGGTGGTGGTCACCGGAAATAACCGTACTAAATCGGTGCTTGTTGGTCTCCAAGGAGTGGTTAAGAAGGCCGTAGGGCTGGGCGGTTGGCATTGGCTGGTAACTTTCTGCGCCAATTTGGATTACTTCGAAAATCAGTTTTAGTATTTTGGATTACCTGTTGTTCAATTTCGGTTGCAATGTAGTTTCCCTTCATTATATTCTCCTGGAATTTGTGTTTGGGGAGTTCAATGGAAATGCTTCTAAGCAATGTCAGTCTATTTGGCTGGTTACTTCTTTCTATTCAATTCCTCTTTGCTATCATTCCAATCTCTTCATTTGGTCGATCAAATTTGTTACCGGCAATCTTCTATCCCCTACTCCATTTCAGAAATTCACCATTTGGATCAATGCCAAATGTTTTAATTCGTTTCATTCCCAACCGGGAGAAGTCTAGATAAAAACATTTTACAGATGGTTTTCACATAAATTTTTTTCCAGTATTGCGTATTTTGTGTTGTGATTTGAATAAAGTTATTCATTTTTATAGATTTTGAGTTACAATCCTAAATCACTAATTGTGGATATCCATTGCATATCTGAGTTGATCCGTGGATCTGGCGTTTTAGCTGCTGCTTTACAACGATCAGTTGCTTTCTTGGGACTTTTGTATGGTCTGGCATATCGAATGCAGTTAATTGATCTATCGGGAACTTAATTATAACAGCGACCTTTGACATTTGTAAATTTTAAGTAGGTATTAGTTTCGTTTATAAAGTGAGGTATTCGATCAGATGCAAGTAAATGCGACAGTGAAATTTTTCTTCGATGATCTTTGCTTGGGAATTTTTCCCACTTTCAACTTTTACCCATCTATTTATGTACCTTATTATGTGTATGAGTGTTGAATGAATTGCATAATTCATTGTGAATGCTTAATTCTTATTTTCGGTTGAGGAGGATGACTGGATGGGGAGCCAGTATTTCTCAATATTGCAAGTTTGCAACACATTATGCTGGCTTCCACGCTCTTTTCCAATTTTCGTACTCAGGGCATGAACAAGCTCATTGATTTTTCATCCTCACCATTTCCCACAGATTTTATCCCCAACACCCCCCCAGAAAAAAAAGAAAAGAAAAGAAAAAAGGATTTGGGTTGCAGACAGCTATACACCCAGGCTTTCTGAAATTATCTTTCCATTGCCTGATTCCTAAAATCTATTTATTGTGGATTTTATTTCATTTTGTTTTATATTGGCGTTGCTAGATTTACTTTTGATGATTTTCTCATATTTTGAGTGTTATTAACGCTATAGGTTCTTACAAACGGTATTGAAGTTAAGCTACAGAGGAATGCTCTTAGCGTGATAGAAGCACCTACAGGTGATGAGGAAGATGACGAACTTGAATTTGAAAATATGCGGTGGAATGGATCAGATATGGGTGAGTTTTATCAAGATGCGTTCTGTTTTTTACTCCGTGTTTTCAGATAGCTTTTTACAAATTTGTGGGCATTAACATTTTTTATCGTCAAATGTCCTGAAGCTCCTAGTAAATTTTTTGCATGCTGAATGATGGTAGAGGTTTGGTTTGATCCATTTGAAGGCTGTCTCACTATACGCTGACAAACTTATTAATTTGTTTTCTCCTAGTTCTAATTGCGCACTTTAATCTGAAGGTAGTGTGGTTGATCAATAATTCTATCGTATTTTGATTAGCTTTTTTCTTTGGCTTCATGTCTTTGGGCTGGGAAAGTGATTGAGGTTGGTAAATTGGATCCATTGTGTCTTCACCTTTTGCTTTTGCTATTTCTAAAAGGTCTGATGTCTTACTTCTTTATCGCTCTAATGGGCCCCACCATTATGTTTGATTTTCTACGTGCTTCGTTTGAATTAATAGCATCGGACGACACTCAAAAGTCCCACAAATCGAGGCACAGGATGCAGAGATCATTGGGATCATCGCACAAGCATACGAGCAGGTCCCTCTCTGGCGATTCACAGTCTAAGGGGTCCATCTCTACGCCTCAAGGGGCCATGGTATATCGACTTTTTTCCTGGTTTCTTTTTACTATTTAATTTGTTATCCACTTAGTAACTAGACTATTGATATTTCCTCTGTTCACATTTCTCTAAAAAAAATAATTTTATGCAGAAGGTTGACTTGAGCAAACTGGAGATGGCTGCATTATGGAGATATTGGCGACACTTTAATCTTGTAGGTTTCTCTCTGCTCCCTAGACCTGTCTTTTTGTTAGTAGTCTCTTTCTGAAAGAGGCTTATGCAATGTAATCTGGTTATATGCCGGCATCTAAAAATGTTTTTTGTAGGTGGATGCCGTTCCAAATCCATCGAAAGAGCAGCTAGTCGATGTTGTTCAAAGGCATTTCATGTCTCAGGTAGTTACTGTTCCATCTCTTCGTTGCTAGTTATTGCTTGAAATAATGTAAACTGAGATTCAACTTTTGTTTGTGAAGCAAATGGACGAGTTGCAGGTGATCATGGGATTTGTCCAAGCTGCAAAGAGGCTGAAAACCGTGTGCAAATGAGACGGAGATGAGTGAAATAAGGGATTTTATTGTGATATCATCTATGCTAACAAGAAACGGTACTCAAAATCCACTTGCCCTTGTTGGATGTAACATAATTATCAGTGGTTTGTATGTATGGATACCAAAAGTAGTAGGTTAATTATGAGTTATAGAGGCTCTTTCTTTTTTGGCAGCCTAGCTAATAGTTATGTAGAAATATGTGACCCTTGTGACTTGTTTGGCGAAGCCTCCAGGGGCTTTCATTTTCTAGCTTATTGCTGACCTGGGAAGTGAGTTTCCTCATTGTATATATATTCTATCTGATCCCATTGTCCTAGCTGTGATTTCCTTCATTGCTGATCGCTTTATCATGCGGAGTGGTAATTGACATTTTGGATTCAGTTTTTCTTTCTTTTTTGTCAAACATTTTCGAAAGCAGCCTTTATCTTAGTCGTTTTTTTCTTCCTATAAAATTTTAGCAGGTCCTTCTCGAATTATGGACCTACTGTGCAAGGAGGCAAAGGTGGATCTCTTCAATTTCCCCCCCTTTTTTTTTTCGTTTTGGGTTTTTTTGTTGGGGGGGAGATACGAGTGACCATTCAATATTTTAAAATTCTTTAATTTTTTAATATAATATATCCGTTCCATTAGTTGTTGAATTAATGTGATGGTTCTTTTGTCAACACACCGGACAATATATCCTACTAACAAGTTTTGATGCTTTTGAAATGGAAAACCGTGGACATATTTCCTTGATGGCTGACTGAAAACAGCAATACGCAAGGGCTATGACACTTACTACCCCTAAAATGGGGGAGATAAGTAGCTATCATGTAAAGATTAAACAGGTTAAGTATTTTACAAATTGACTTTTTCCCACCAATGTCAAAGATTAGTGTTTGAACCTATACTTTATATTTAATGATTTTAAATTATTATTCCCAATTTAACGAGGGGCACTACTTGAACTATGTAATTAATGCTCCTTTTTGCTTATAATTTGGACCAAAGAATGTGGCCAACAATTTTCTTGTATTTAAGAGCGGGATTAGTACCCCCAAAAAAAATTAAGCACGGACAAATAAAGGGGGCGAGACACAAGACCCTCGGCGTACCACCCACCCAAAAAAAAAAAAAAAGAAGAAAAGAAAAGAAAAATGAAAGAAAGAAGGGAAAGGATAGTTGGAAAGAAAAAAGGAGGCAGGAGGCGCTGATGAAAGGAAGAAAGCGGAGTGTAAAGTAATGGGCTCATAATAAGGTGGTATAAATGTTGAAGATAAGCCAGACAATTGGCTGAGGAAGGATCCTATGCCAGCTTTTCGTTTTTAAATTAAAAAGAATTTAAAGGGTGGTGGAAAATCGGGGAAGCCATTATTACTAATATGTTGTTAGTTTAAACAAAGCGCAAGAAATGAAATGGTGGGGATGCCTCGCTGTTGGCGTGGAAAATATCGGGGGAATGATGAGGATGATTGTAGGGAGCGTCAATATCATCGGATCTTAGGATCAAAGCGGGGCCCACTCGTGCTTTGGACGCTTCCGAAGCGGAGCCCCCCTTCTCCATTCTACCCTCTACGCTCTTCGCCTTCTCCTTTGCTTATTTTCGATTTCAATATTTGTTGTTCTTAATCATTTATTAACACGCGTAATGACGACAGGCAGGCGTGGTGTGGATAACATCTGGTCCCACTTACACCCAATAAAGCCAAACGGCGCCGATGCAGCCCAAGTCACTTCCAATCACATCAAATCAATTACCGTTTTGTTCTCCCCGTAATTCCATTCAATGTGGGTTTCATGGGCAAAGCTAATCCTGGGCGTCATTTTCTTCGACGGGAATGCATGACCATGTCATCTTCCTTCTTTTGCCATGAACTACTTTTTTTTAAATATTCTGACTTGTGTTGAACAGATTGATGGTGGATGATAATGGAACAATGTGGATGGGTCGTTGCATCCAATTTTTTTAAAGGAAAAATGATGAGTCAGAGGAGGAGGAAGAGGATGATGGATGTGGCAGGTGAGGGGCCGAGACTGCAAAATTTCAAAAATCAAAACCTGCCTCCACAAATCCGGAAATCAAAAGTTGGGTGAGGGTTTGGTATGCTTTCACTCACTTTCTTAATGACTCCTTTATTTCCCTCTTCCATTGTATCCGATTGAGAGTATTTTTTTTTTCCCATAGTTTGCAAATTAATTACTATTTCATCTAAATAAAAAATTTAATCACTTTAATTGACTCAACGGTCCATCATAATATGAGTATACCAATCAAAAAATGTTTGTGAATTCCCCCGTGTGCTAAAATTTAACTGTCAAAACAAGACAACACAGACAAGACCGTCTTTTTTAGGAACGCCCGAGGCGCGCAGGCAAGCCATGAGAGATATTTTCTACTTGACAGAGGAAGTTGTTTAGTGAAGAATAAATTTTCTGCAGAATTGAACCGGAAAATAACACATTTTCGACAAATCAAATTGATTGATATAAAGAGAGAATTATAAATTAAATTCTTAAAAAAACATTAAAAAAAAAAAAGCTGTGATTGAGTGTGACCACGTCAACCAGACTGTGCCCTATAAGTAAGAACTGAGGCACTGCACAAACTTCATATTCAAAAAGAAAAGAAAATGAGGAGTCTGTTTGGAATAGTATTGGCTTTGTTGATGTCGTGGAATTTATGTGCTCTCGCCTATCCATCCCCTCATCATCGCTCGCACCACAAATCCAAGACATTGCCGCCTCCTCCTCCTCCGCCTGCCGGGTGCCACCATAATACGCCGCCGCCGCCGCCGCCGCCAGCATGGTTCTACTTCTACTCGCCGCCACCTCCTAGTCCAATGCACAGGAGGCGTCGTCGGCTATTTTGATTTGCGACGTTATTTATCATTGTCTGCACAGCTTCGTGTCTTCGATACTGTCGACCGCCTTCCGTGTATTCCCCCACCCCCCACTGATCTCACTCTAGATCTCTCCTCTATGATCTCTCCTTCCTGTTCTACTGCGTGCCTTGTTCTTCACCTTTGTGTTGTTTTCCAGATTTCGTATTATAAAGCTAGATGAGAGCTTCAAAACTAGTGTTGACTTCATTTGAACACTGTTCGTTGCGTGGGAATGTCAATGATGGTCACATTTGCTGTTTTTGATGTTCGTGAATTAAAACATGTTCTTGCTCCCAATATGTCCCATCAACCTCAAATCACTAGCCTTATTACGTTTGGCCGTCCTAGTGTCGGGTCCTATGTCCTACTGCTAACTAAAACTCACGCCAACATGCACATGCATGCTCGTAGGTGTATCTTCTTTTGTTTTCTTTTCTTTTTTAATCGCCGTTTGAGTCTATGGATTGAATGAATTTTTCCCCTGATTCGACATGTTCCACTTCGAAAATGACATTGATATACTTAAGTCTTGGATGTATAAGAAGTTAAGGAAATGATCGTGGTGCACAAAACTAAAAACTTGGAGGAGACAAGATTATGCAGTTGATGCAGAGGTAAACCATGCGCACATGTTTTCTCATGAATTGCGTCGAATTCAAATTTTAAGATGAATAGCACAACTTGATATGAAAGTTATACTATAGAACCAAAAAAGATAATTAAATTAGTTATTGCTATTAATAAGTAGTAGCAAAATTATGATATACAACAGGCAATGTTGTGTGAAGTGAAATTGAAAATTGAAAACCAGTAAGTTGAAGACTCACGGATCTGCAATCGGCACTCTCTACTTGACTGCACCTGATAAGGTTCCTGATTCAATTCATCAGTCCCGCAGCTGCCGTGCGTCTGTTTAAAACTTTTGTAAAGTTATTTGCATTTTTGTCATCAGGAACGTATGTGAGAAAAAATATGACTGCAACGTTCTATGAAAAAGGTGAAATTGCCCGACTTGTGATTTTCTTTCAAGCTCTAGCCTGCTTTTTTAATTTAAAAAAAAAACAAAAGTGGGAAGTTGGATTTGACCCAACATATTCGGGGGGGAAAAGGAGTCAAGATCGTAGTTTATATGGATCAGATTCAAACCATCAATAAAAGTGCACCCCTTCTTTTACGGGTAAATGCATGCTGTGTAGTCACTTTGTTGACCACTATTTTCGGTTCTAATTATAAAATTGTATTTATAAATTATAAATAAAGTTTTATAATTAAGACCAGAAATCGTATAAATATTCTAATATGGAGGCTTTACAAATAAAAGAGCAAAAGCTACTGTTTTGAGGCGTCTGGAAGGAAATAATAAACTGTACAAAGGCAACGTTTGGAGCCATTAGATTGGGATGCATGCATCATAGCCCAAGCATTTGAGAGGGCCTGGCTCCAATTGGGTCCAAGGTCCAAGTTATTGTTCCGAGTTTTTTGTTGGGCTGAACATGCACTTCACCCTGGAATACTCTCTACGTCAGGCCTCCCACAAATATATGCCCCGCTTTGGTTTCGATCTTGCTCATATTTTGCGAGAATCGTCTTATAGAATTAAGAACGGATAATATTCACGTTATGCTCCTCTGACCCTAAACGTATGAGTTAGTAAATTGGTTTTGGTCCGAGGGAATCGGATTTTAAAAGCTGAAAGGTGAAAGATCAGTATTTTCAGGGCAAAAAAAAAAAAAAAAAAGACCCGTATTTACTACTCCTCCGGTCCTTAATATAGGACCCAATTCTTGAGTTGGTTTTGGTCCTAAATATAAGACCCGTTTATCATATTTATCAATTTTCTCTAAATTACCCCTATAGACACTCCCTCAACCATAATTAAATAGAAGAGGGAGAGGAGGTATTAAAAAAGATGATTATGGTGTTTTAGGAAAAATGTGTCACTTTTCTTATAATTAACTAACTTACCTAACTTCCTTAATCTAATCAAATTAGTTAAATGGGTCTTACATTAAGGACCGGAGGAGTATTTAGATTTAAAAAGAGAGATTTCTTCATCTCTCAAAGCATCTGACTCACACCACCTCCCGCACTGCCTGGAAAGTTTTGGTATCAGTATAAACATGATTAATCTTTTGATTGTGGGAATGTGCGATGGCCTATTGCCGACTCTCGAACTCATAATATCATTCCCCTTTTCCATCATCATCTGATCTTCACAAGATATCTTTATTTCGGTTGAAATATTCATTCTTCTGTCATATATCAGGAGGGGTAATTTGATACCTTTAAACTTAAATTTTATAGCTGAATTTTAAAGCAATTATAATTAGTAAGGCCGTCTGAAATGAATATTGTCTAGTATATGGGGTTTATTTGATACACGTTTTGCTTTTATTTTTGCTGGAAAGCTGCGTCATTGTGGGTGAGAAGAAGTAGGGAATGTTTCAATGGAGAAGTGAGGATGAGGAAAGTACAAAGTAGTGGGAGGAACTTCGTACTAGT